CATTGTGATGATAGTTAATAACAATGTACAGTATTGAATTCTTAAAAATTGCTAAGAAAGTAGATTTTAAGTGTTATCACTACAAAAAAATAAGCATATGAAGTAGTGCCTGTGTTAAGTAACTCGATTTAGCCATTCCACAATGTATTCACATTTCAAAACATGTTGTACATGATAAATATATACAATTTTGTCAATTAAAATAAATAAAAAATTTTAAATTTTTTTAAGAAAGACCAAACACCATCTAGTGACAGAGTTTAAACTGTGAATGAAATTCATTATTCCTACGGTCACTCTGTCTTAGCAGATAATGTTGGTAGGACCAGTCACCTAACCCTTTCTGTGCCGTTACCACAGAATGTTTTATATCCCTCTTTTTATAGAAACAAGCTCTCTTGCATTGGGCTTCCTTTGGGTTGCAATTTCATCATGCTGCATACCTAGGAATATGATTTCTGGTATCTTGATTTTTCTACACCAGGAGACTATCTTTTCTCCAATGTATTTCAGATTTCCGATTTTATTACATTGTTTTCCCATAAAAATTGCATATAAAAAACTGATTTGTATAACCTTCTTCCAATTTCAGGTAATACAGTAGGGTTTTGTTGTTGTTGATGTTATTATTTTGGATAGGAATATTTCCCTTCACTGAATACACTAGCCATCAGGGGTTCTGTTAAAGATGTCCCATGTTTCTTAAAAACCAGCGTAACCTGAATCCTCTGAATTTTCGTTCACAAGTATGGTCACTGCACTACAAAGAAGCCCTGTTATGAAAGATTTGGTTTAGAATCTATCTTTCTTGGTGTGGTATTAAGAATGGTCAGTTTTATAATGATTTAATGTAATTTATTAATGTTAAGGGTTTCTAAGTGGAATCTTATAATTTATTAGTGAGTATTTTAAAATAAGCATTATTAATATATGGCATTGATTCTAAAACATGTGGCCTTTACATTTTAACATCTCTGACCCTGGGATGCATCTCATGATTGCTATAGACCAGGCGGTAAGTTGGGACAGCATTGTCACTGTGTGGTCTTGGTTGTTATTCCATGTCTTGGCATGACAGGGCCATCACAGCTTCTCAATATTCAGTCAACAAACCATTTAAGGACCCTTTGAGAAAGGAATACAAGACCTGGTTACTGTCTGAATATTTTCCTTGACAATTTCTGGTGAGCTTCAAGAACGAGCAGAATGGAATTCTGATTAGGAAAAAGAGACAATAGCAGAGCATCCTGCTCCCTAAAGTTCCACAGCACCCTCGACACTCTTGATGGTACAGAGGTGATGCTGAGTGGAAAGCACAGGCATCAGTCAGTGACTGATGCAAAAGGGATTCATAAAAGTTGGACTCTGTGTAGACGTTTCGGGAATTCCTTGATCAGTTTAGTTTGTTTATTACTTATCACTTGATCTCCTCTACCAAACTGTGAACTCTTTGCCATTAGGGGAGGGCTCATGTCACAGCAATGTAAAATAACCTACTGCTATGTGCAACATGTAGAAGACTTGTACACATAAAACTGAACCAAAGAATCCAGACATAAAAAGAGTTTATAGTCTGTGATTCTATTCACATAGAGTTCAGGGAAAGATAAATGAAATCTGTGGTGGTAGACGTCAAAATAGTGGTTATCTCTACAGAAAGTATTGACTGCAGTAGAGAATAAGGAAACTTTCTGAGATGTTTGCAGCGTTCTACATCTGCTAAGACTACTATAAAGGTTGATAAAAATGCAAAAATGAAAATGAAAACCTGTGTGAAGGCAAAAAAAAGAAGCCTCAATATTTATAAAGCAAATTTATTTCTAGAAATACAAATTTATAAAGGAAATTTCTATAAATTTCAAGTAACTGAAAGCATACAAAGTATATTCTACGACCATCGTGAAAACAACTAGAACAATTCTTCAGTTGTTTGGAAATCAAGGATTACATTTCTAAATAGCTCATCTTGATCTGCAAAGGGGTTACATGGATGTGTTTGCTTTGTAAAAATTCACTGAGTTACACATTTAATACTTGTGCCTTTTATCACATTATGATATTCCTCAGTAAAAGAGGCTGCGTAACACTGAGGCACACTGACGTACGAGTTAGTGGGGGTGTGAGTCAATAATCATGGGGTGGACCATCTCTTTGGTAGCTGTGTGGAGATCAGACGGGATGAGTGGGAAGGTTGTGAGGCTTGAGCAGAGGATTAACGACCTAGAATAGGGCAGTGGCAGCTGAGAAGGAGACTTGACATCTAGGAGAAAGATCGAGGGGCAGATTGCACGTAATTTGGCTCAGTAGATGTGAAGAATGAGAGTGTGGAGGTTAGTTTCTAACATGAGTGCCTGGGCAGATGGAAATTTAGGTAAAGTTACTGTTGGCATTGAGAGGGAGAGAGAGGGCATAGCGCATAAGCTATGTTAACTCGTTGCATTTGAGATGTGTCTTGGGGGATACAGGTGGAGATGGTTAGTTAAGTGAAATTAAGAAAAGCAAATAGTAAAATTGTTTTTGAATTTACAGAAATCCTCATGTAAAACTAAATCCCTCCCTAGGTCCAAGGATTTCTTGTTGGTTGGGTTTCAAGAGCACCCCACTTCCAAGCCACACTCTGAGACCTTGGAGGGATGGTTTATCTTCCTGACTCTGAGTCATGGAGGACAGAGGACAAGAATCGGGAGCACGAGGAGCAGGAAATGACCAGGAATGTCACTGTCCGCCAGGGCTCTGTGGCTTCAGGCCAGCCGCCTCACTTCTCCAGCCTGCCTTGCCCTCACTGGCCCTTCGCCTGCACGAAATCTTCACCATGTATTGGGAAGCTTCACTTTTATCCTTTTTCCGCAATATATTCAATTAGCATCTATGTTTAGTAAAACTCCCTTGCTGCTGAAATTGCTCATGGCTAGTTTTACACTATTTTTTGTGAAATAATTCTGGACAAAGCTTCTTGGAATTTTACTAAAAGACTAGAATCTCTCCCTAAAAAAAAAAAGATTAAAAGATAATCCTTAAGCAAGGGATTCAATCAGAGACTTTAAATAGTTTCATAAAAAATTACTTCTAAAATACACTAAGTTATCATTTAATATGTCTCTACCAAAAGATGAGAGTAGAGAAATATTTCGCTGTATTTTAAACATTTATATATGTTGTAATTAAAATATACATATGTGTGTTACTAAAATCCAGATAGGCTTAAAGTACATGGGAAATAGCTATAAGAAATTAGGGTCTTGTTAATTGTTCTACTACTAAAAGGAAATTTATTTTTTTTATTTGGATAAAAACTCCTATATCAACAGAGCCTAAGTTGTAGTAGTATACACATATGCTTGAAAATACAAACACTTCTTTTTTCTGTGAGAAGCAATGACTATAATGAATTCATAGTTTACAACAGAAATGTAAACTAGGTCTTTGTTTATAAATTTGTTACTATCTATTCCCTGTGTAGGGTAGCCAAATATTTATCAGCACCTAAGGAAGTCTGGTCCATACCCTAATGCTAATACCCCCCAGTTTTGACTTTTGGTTGAGTTTACAAGATTAGCATGGGCTACGGCAAGGAAGAGATTGGTGGATGTATAGCCAAGAAGTAAGAACTCTCAGGCTCCCTCACTCCCCTCCTAACCCAACTGCTTTTTATCCTTCCAAGATAATAAAACCCAAAGGAGATACTGATAGACTCCATGAGAAAAATCATCGGCAAATATGGGCACCTTCAGTCAACCAAGTCATCCATCCCTATAAAAGTTGTTGGCTAACGAATTCTCAGATAGTGGGAACCCAGTTTCACATTTTTTTTTAAATGGGAAAGGTAATAATACATTTCTAACTCATGATGATTGTATCTGTCAATTTACTGAACAGATAATATCTAATTTGTCAAAAATATTATGCTGCACTGAAGTAGTATACTGCAGTGTTTCAGACATACCCGTATCTTATAAGTTTTCTTTATTTTCCTATGCATAGAAAAAAATAATATGCATGATGATAGGTACATGTGCATGGCCAAGCTCGTGTCTTCTACATGTTTCAGTATACTTCATCCTGTCTCCTTTAGGAGGAAAAGCTACTTGGGCTCATTTATTTCTTTCGTAGTCTACTCCATTTTGGGAAGGTATATTTTCACCTCAAAATATAGAGAAGATGACAAACAAAAACTCAGTATGTTTAAACAGCACAAGTGTGAGATATGATGATGCCTTCAGGTGAAACATGAGACCCACTGAGGCCAGTGCCTCAGCCTTTGTCAGCACACCCGGCAGCTCCAACAGTGACGCTGACTCAAACGCGCAAACTCTTTTTAGAGGCTTAGAGTTTGGACAGCAAATTCCAGGTAACAATATTTACAGGTCAGTAAAAACTACATGGAAGTGAGAGTTCATTTCAGTTAAAGAGGATTACAACATAATAAAGTTATTTTAGATCATTTTCAGTCTTTATGAGATTGCGAGACAAATTGAAAATGGCTATGTAAATGGTGTTCTCCTGTGGAACTATCATAACAGTCGTGAATCAGGTTGTGTTTCATCGACTTCTAGACCTGACTATATTATTTTTAAAGGATATACATCATGAGGAGGATTTTCATTTGACGGGCAAGAGAAAAACAGAGATCCAGTGTTTATCCTGATGAGAAGCGGCTCTGTAATCACACCATTGAAATGTTCAGAGAGGAAAAGATTCTTCTTTCGACTTAATTGTTATTTATTGGATAGTCTACTATTTTACATAAATCTATGTACAACAACAATATTAAAAAAAAATCCCAGAGTATTGACTAGTTTTCTCATTTAAAAGCTTCTCATTTAAAAGCTAATCAGGCTACTTTTCAAAGTAGAAATAGCAAGTATACTAAGAAAAATTTATCAATTATAAAGAAATTATATGTTATTTTAAGTGAAATTAAAGGTATCTTAACAGAATACCCAGTGGTAGAGTAGCGTATCAACCTTGGTCTTACCCTTTAATTTCAAGGCTTCTAATACCTTTGAATCAGCTGTTACATCACTCACTAGCTTGATTTCAATATCTTGGGAAGTCAGTTGGAGTAACTTTTCAAAAAGACGTTGACCCTGGAAAAAATATTCAGAGATAAGGACATCAGAAAACCTACATGTTGGCCATTTAAAATAGGTATAAATAAGCTCATTAAAAATTAAAACTATTCATTCAAATTTTAAAAGGCAAGCACTTCAACAATTGGTATTCATGGAAGATTAATGAAATTCTTTCAAAAGAGTTTATATAAATAGAGTAGTAGCACAAATACAGATTCCATTATGTCTTTTTGAATACTGTGCAATTAAACAATCACTGCAGTAATAATCTCATTGCAATGTACCCTTCTTTCACTTTTTGCATCTCTAGTTATCTACACATGAAGAGGCAACAGTGGAGATTGAACAGTTGCTAGTTTTAGCCCAGAGAGACCTGGAGTCCAGCCTGCTTTCCGGCTTATAAACTGTATTTCTTAACCTCACTAACCTCCAGTTTCTTCCTCTGCAAAATGTAGATAATATTAATATTTACTTCAAAAGGTTTTTGTGAGATTCTCCAATCTCACTAGTAGTAAGTATCCTTTCAGTATTAGCTATTACGCAGAGAATCAGTTACTAATCAGTGACTTACCTGCATTCATCCTATTGTTTAAATTTATTGTACTGAATTCAATTAATGTTCTGCCTAAAAATAACTGAAATAAGAACAAAATCAAAAATAAAGACTTTCCTCACAAGATTTTTAAAGCATATAATTTTTACAATAAGTATTAATCTCAGGGAGACTGAATAATGGCAGGTTGCAGTCATTGTATAACCTCAGGTAATTGGATTACAACATTGCCCTGTTTATTTGCCCTTGTATGTTTTGATAGACTCCCTCTCATCATAAAAGGGAAATAGTCTTCTCTACTGATTTTTCAGTTTTTTTGCTATTGGTCCACAAACTTAAATGCCTTCAGGGGCCAGACAGACAATAAGACATTGGCCCTGATGGCCCCCAAGTGGCAAAGACTTATCTTGTTTTGATAAGAACAGACTGTGGATAATGACTATATGGAAAGGGTTTTGTGAAAAGGAAGAGAGAACGGTACAAACAAATGTGGATGCAGAGCAACGATTCCTGCAATTCAGCCTGAGAAAAGAATGAAGTGGAAGATCAAGACCTGAGGGTTTTGGAGCGTTAGGTGCGGGGAGCCAGTGTGCCCATGCATGGGTGACAACTGACAGCAGGAAGGAGCCTCTGGCACAATCCAACAGGGCTCTAGCCAGGAGCTGGTCAGCACAGCCAACACCCCATATCCCCTGGGTGTTGGAGGGTGGAGTAGGGGCTACATGCCATGCCATGCATGGAGGCTCCTTTTCGTTTTAACTAAATGTAGAAAAAAATGTTGCCCAAAGTGGAGCTCATCAAAAGCAACCAAATTCCTCTGCACCCCCCAAGCCTGGAGGCTGCCCCACCACGAACCAGGTATTTCTGTGCAGAGGGTTGAGTGGGTGCATTGGACAGGTATAAACTTCTTTAAAAAAGAGGAAGGAGGGGGGAGAGAGAGAGACAGATGTACAGAAAGACAGAGAAAAGAACAGAAAAGAAAAAAACAGGCGCTTATTTGTTGATTTCTGTGTCTCTATCACAGCATCTATCTCAATTTTAAAGTTGCTATGGAGAGGTGAAGGCTTGGAATGGTGAGAGGTCAGGGCTTTGAGGTTCTTCCCCAGACAGAGTTAACACCAACACGACCTTCCTTGCCAGCTCTGGCACCCCTCCAGGAAGTCCACTATACCCCGGCCATACTCTGCTGAAGGGCTGGTGGCGTCTGCATAGCCAGATCTCTAGAGGCAAGACTGGTGGTCATCACATATTCATTCGTTGTTTATATTTTTCCCTTTCAGACAGAGGAATACTTTGTGTGTTTCGTGAGACCCCCACAGTTAGTGGGCCAGTATTTTTAAACAAATTCACTTATTTTTCCTCTTAGTTAACAGGATATATTTGGCACAAATGAAATATATAAGAGATAATCTAACCTCTCTGTGTTTCCGCCTCCGTACCTTAAATCGATTCCCGCTGTGTTATTTTGGTGAGCTTTAAGACAAAGAAGACCAGGACTCTCAAAACATCAATGAAAATAGAAACTCTGAAATCTACAGAGACTGGCAGACTGTCATTAAATAAAGCTTATTTTCACTTTTAGTATGTGCTGATTGCTCACGCCAAGGAATCCTAAAATTTTTAATTATAGCACTCCCTACAAGGAACGTAGTCTTAGGTAGAACTTCTGTACCCGGGCTTGAGATGGAACTTCTGTTAAATCTCTCATCTTCGGTGTGTTATCTCCCCATCCTGCCATTTTCATTAAGACAGTCAGAATGTAATAATTTCCAAAGGCATTAAACGCCTATTTTATGCCAAGTTCTGCAGTAAGGCCTAGTGCTTTCTGAGTTAAATTCTCTCATTATTTTTTAAAATAAAGAAATAGCAGAAAGCCCCCTGGCTTTTAAACATCAGCAATTTAAAACCTTGCCCTTTCCAGTAAAATACATTAGCCAATATTTCAAACCTAAATAAATCATCTCAAAGATAGTGTCTCAGGAATGCTGACCTACTTTAAGCCAATTTTTAATGAAGTCTGCAGAAACCTTCTGACGGACAGTGCCGTCCTGTGCGGGAAGCTGTACCCGAGGATGGGGTTCAGCTCAGCCCCGTTGTCACTTTGAAGAGGCTGTTGAATGCATAAGGAAGGCCCTTTTGGTTTTGTAGGAAAGGAAATAAACCTGTTTCTCTGCCCTCCTAGGTTCACTGGCTGGGCCCATGAATCAAATTGATAAAAAACTAACATGAGAAAACCAAAGTTTTAATTATATACACACAGAGTTTTAATTATACCCAAACAAGGAAGCTCAACAAAGAAATGAGAGAGACTCAGGGAGGTGGCCGGATGGCTTCGGCTTAAATACCATCTCCGGGTAAACAGAGGAGAATGGGTTTGGAGCTTCTGGGTGAGGAAGTTATGGGAAGTTAAAGGAAGGTAAGTTATGGGAAGGTAAAGGAAGAAAATATACAGAAAACAAGGGCTGTTTTATCATGTAGATAAGAGGGAAGAGTTGTGTCCAGGAGTAACTCTCTACCTAGTATGGAAATGCCTTTTATTAATAGAAATTTCCTTTATAAATAGAAATTTCTTTTACAAATGTGGAAATTTATGCTCTATTTTTAGGCAATTAGAGAGTGGTAAAGAACATCTCCTGCATCTGCTGGTTCTCAATTGCCTTCAGCTCAAAATAATTCATATGCCAAAGAGGCATATTTTGGGGTGGTATATTCATATTCTGGTACTAGAGATTATAAATACTGCTTGCTTCTGTTGACTCAAAACAAATGGTAGAGAGGATGAAATGCCCAAATATCATGTGCAGGAAATAAGCAAAAATACCAAAGAAAAGTCATGCTGGATGAACTTAATTCTGGGGATTATGTAAAATATGGTGGTGGTTTTCAAACTCATTTTAGTAATTGAACTCTTTGTTCAAATGAAAACTTAGGCTCAACATCTCCTCCAGTTCCTTCCTTCCCTCCAGTACAGAATCTGCCCCACGCCCCCAGGGCTCCACAGAACACGTTGGAAAACCACTGAATTTTACTCATCATAATGAGAACCTTCAAGATATTGTGATTTCATACAAACTGAGAAGGCCACAGCTGTAAGATGACTTAGAGATCAATAATGCACCAGTCTCTTCATTTTACAAATGAGGACTCTGAGGCACAAGAAGATCGAATGATGTGCTGGTGGCCACACAGCTTCCTAGTGGCAAGGTCAGGCCTAGAAACATACGTCTCTCTTCTTGATCCAGTGTAGTTCCCTCCACATGACTATTTGGTTTTGTGTAACTGGAACAGGAAGGGGTATCCTGGAAAGAAAGTTACTCCCGAGTCTCTCCCACTCCTTCCATCCTCAGCCAGGTCTATGCAACCCTAACAAGCCAAGCAGTGCTGGGCCAAAGGCCAGCAGAGTCAGGTTCTGTGGAGTCCAGGTCCCTGCAGAACAATGCTCAGCCCCACGAGAGTGTCCCAGAGCTGCCTGTTCTTTAAAAGGTGAGGTAAGAACCAAAGCCACTCCCTGAAATCTGGGGCTAGGAGTGTGAGGTATTGAGAAATTCTTTGGTTGCCTCAAACGGGAATTGGTAAACTATCTAGTGCTGCACCTCCAGTCTCTGCCTTCCTCCATGTGAAAGGAATAAGCCACCAACAGGCTCATAAAGTCAAATATCAACTCATTTAAGGGGACTCAACCACAAAGGGAAGATGCTTGAACACAGTGGGCACCTGCCGTTGACACAGGCTACTGGAGAAGACAGAAACTGGGACTAAAACAGCATGAGCACGCCAGGACAGGCAAGTGTGGCTGCTGCTAATACTCTATGATTTTACGGCTCTCTTAGAGGAGTAATCAAAGAACAGTATGGCCATTGTTGAGGCCCAAATTCGTGGCCTGAAGACAAAATGGAAGAAACATCTCAAAGCACACAATGCACATACACACATATGCACACGCACACAGAAAAAGCATTAAGGGGAATTAGGGGAAAACGCTGACAGATAAATTGAGGAGCTATAACATGTGGCTAATAGAAGTACTGGAACAGAAAAAGAAGCAAAAAATATTAAGTTTGCAAACAATAGAAAAAAATTATCCATGTTGAGGAAAGACTAAATTTACAAGTTGAAAAGATACCCGAAGATGGAGGCAAATTTCATGTTGAAAGACACATCTAGGCACATTCTATTAAATTACTGAACATCAGGGAAAAAGACAAAGGTTGGCCAAAAAATAAAAAAATTAACCCATCAAGGAAAATGGAGCAGACAGACTGGTATGGAACTAACCCTCTGCAAGGGCATGGTGACTATGGACTACAGGAGACAAAGACTGAAGTCAAAGAATCCTTTACCCACTCAAGGATGTTAACTGCCAGGATGAAAGAAAGAAATATTTGCAGATACACACAGATTTACAGACTATATTGCCTACATCACGCATATGAAGAAGATGTTCAAGAAAGGACTCT